CAGCTCTCCAGATGCTTGCCAGGGTCGATTTTGTAGGGCTTTTGATAAAACTTTGTGTCACTTGCTCAATAACTCTGTCAGATGTGCTTGTACGACTTGAGGTTTCCACGTTTTACTGAGCACCCTGTTTCTCTATGCCACTCATAAATTGTAGGCATTCTAGGAGGATCTTTATAGCATACTTGCTACGAAACCATGCAGCTGAACTGTTGTCACAGACTTCGATTCTTCAAACCAAATTACACTACAGCTAGCAAGCTTAGATCCTGTCAACGCAGGCATATTTAAATTTAACATAACTGCCACTAGGGCTTGTGAGGCTTATTTGGTGTGATTAGGCACTAGTGGACTACGCGAGTCAAAACTGAATGTGTGTCCCTTTAAAACAACACTAAATCGAGCTCTGTAACTTTTTGGGTACGGTAACTATTTATTTAATATAAGTCTACATTGGGATAGGATGTAGGCCTAGGCGTAATTTTTAGATGTAATCTTACTACAGTTTTTTTCACACTGAATCAAAAAATGGAATAAGTTTTTGTCAGAGATATTCGTAAGTGGTCGTACATTTAAATAATTAATATCAAGCTTCAGTTTTGTTGAGTTAGGCCTATTCAGATATTTGTGGTTTGTACGAGTCCGAGTTCTTGCAGCGACTAACACTGAAAGGGGCGGAACGTTTGTGGAGTGGAAACAGCTGTTAAAATTAAGCAAATCAGATTATTAATTTATTTATACTTTTCTTATAAATTTTAAACGTTATGGTTTCTGTATCCAAAACTAAATCCCTACGGTATATGCCCTATCTGAAAATTTATTGTAGCCTTCATATGAATAGTTAAAAGAATCAATAGTGTCAACTAGTAGTCTACTGTGTTTGGTAAACACTACGGGTTTCACATGAATTGGGTAATGTGCAAATATAAAAAAAATAATTATTTATTTATTTTATTATTTAGGCTAATCCAATACAAATTTATATTTACATTAAGAGTGTAATGTAGGTACAAAGTCTAATGTTTCTAGGCCTATTGAGAATGTTAGCCTAAGATTGCATTTCTATCCTTAAAGTGTCAACTACTGGTATGTTTACCTTAAATAAGAGCTGATTATTTAGTTTCCAAACTTAAATTGATTTAATTTAGCATTAAGTCGAGTACCTATAAACAGCTGTTTGCTCTACTCACTCAGTCCTCAGCCCACATGGACGGACCCGTCCAGACCACGTCATATTAGGCTACCATCATTACCGCTAAATGAACCTAAGATTCGTAATGTTAACCTTTGTTTTACAGCCACATATGAATCTCTCCGACAAAAACTGATTGCATTTCTGGATTCAGCGTGAAAAAACTGTAAAAGTAGACATCTAAAAATTAAGACCTAGGGGAGAGTGAGGCACATTTGAACACTTTTTAAACTTTAATTTTTAAATAGGTGAATTTATGTGTTTTTAATAAAAACATTATTACATTTAGTTGTATCATAATGTTAGCTTTAATTTAGTTATTTTTTAAACCCTCCAAGTTAACATGTTAATGTGCAATATCTGTTTTCTCAAGGGTATGCAAATCGTTCAAAAGTACCCCACCAGTGGGGTACTTTTGAACAAGCAGTGGGGTACAATTGAACACACTAATTAAGTAAAATGAAAAATTTTATTTTACAGAAATTGTTATGCAAGTGAGTTGATAAAAACAGTTATTATTTCTATTGGAACTAATTCTTCATTCAATGTTAGATTCACATTATTTGTAGCTAAATGTTGCAAAGTTAATAGAAAAATTATATTTGTTCACTGCACGTGCAGTTCTAACACTCATTGTTGGTTGAGGAAGCTTATAGACTTAAATTATTATTATTTATCACTGTGTTCAAATGTACCCCTCAGACTCCTGTTCAAATCTACCCCACTAGACACCATTTTGCAAAAAGTTAAATTATGTTTACTTGAATTGTAATTTATCAATGTGAAATGCATAATTGTATCTAAATATGTATAAGCCATAAGGTAAATGGATCAAACTTATCTGTAATGTAGTTTTTCTATGGGAAATTTACAAATCCCTACTGCTAAAAAAGTTTTCTTGCCGTGCTCTAAAAATTCTTTTCCCAACAACAAACTAAGAACTGATCAGAAATGGAGGGAGATGAATGCAACCTGTTGTCCTTTTTGAGGGCTACATTTTACAGCTGGTCCAATGGCCTGCAAGTTTAAAAATGACCTCAAATTTAAACCGTTCAAATGTGCCCCATGTTCAAATGTGCCCCACTCTCCCCTATATCCCAATGTAGGCATAGGCTACTAAATAACTGCCACTTTTAAAAAATAATTTTATATGAATTTTCAAAGCTGTAATTAGTCATTTTTGAAACACCCTGAGGAGAAGAGTTATTGTTTATGATTGGATCGTTTTAACTTATTTGGTTAAGTTAAATGATGTTTTAAATTAACTTACTAAAATAACAAGAAACTAATTGTAAACAAAACACAACCTCTACAGTGCACCAGACGGAACTAACGTTAAAATTGGCTTCAGCTGTTCCATAAGGATGATAGCCATTCCCGTCAAGCAGTGTCCCTCCGTGTTTAGCTCAGACTACGTCTAAGTTATTATAAGTAGAGGAATCCTAATATAGGCTAGCCTATTAACGTAAATCAATAACAATTGTACAGGCGTAACACTTAGTCCATTAAGTACGGTGGTTAACACGGGCAGTCCCTCAATTAAAAACTTTAAAAAATAAAAAGTGCTATACTTATTTATTATGACTTATAATCATTGTTCTGAAGTTGTGTGTGCATTAGGCTATTTACAAAATAAATTAACTTAGGCAGCGTACACTTTATAACTTACCGGTACCTATCATTTTTTTCTTTAAGTTAGTACCGTAACTTTTAAGTTATTGCCGATAGAAAAATAACAAAACCCAAAACACAAAACAGTACGGTAGGTAACTTACTAGGTCAAATAGCCTACTTCTTATTGAATAAATGTAAAGTCATAGGAAAGAGTCAATAAAAATTCATATTTTGATTAGGCCTACCGTACCTTTAGTATGTAAGTTATTAAGTAGGCCTAGGCCTATAGCTTAAGTTAATTGATGCTATCCAAATCTTATCTTAAAATTAAGTTCACTACACAGTTTAAATTTATGTTTAATGTCCTGCAGTTTCGAGTGTTGCCCAGTTCCTATCTTTTTAATTTTATTTATTTATTTCAACGGCAATCGCCATTTAACAAAATATCACCCAGCGTGGGAGCGGTTACTTAAGTAGGATAACTTATGTGTAACTTAGGCAAAGTTAACCCTAGATCTGGCGGTCATTTTATTCACCAGTGGCGGGTATATTTTGGCACTTTTGTAGTGGTATCATATATTTTGCCACAGACCATTTATTTGTGAATATAAGTACACACATATATATATTCTCTATTTCAGTGATGAATTTAGAATATAATAGTATACAAATATTCTTTTCCTAGCAATGCGTTTAGGCGAAGTAGCAAAAGGTTTGCAAATTTTTGGATTATGCAAATTAGAAATTTCAAAAGCAACCCACAAGAAAACCACAAAATAATTTTTTACACATTTTATCTAAATATAAAGTTTGTGTGAAATATGATTCCCTACGTAGAATTATCAATGTTTTTTAAGTACTCATAAAAATAAAATTATAAAAAAATAAATTCTTTGTACGTAGGCTACCTATTTTCTTTCTTGAAAAACTACCAAATTTCTTTTTGTCACGTAGAAAATAATAGAATGCATCAACAAAAAATGAAATGATACTGTACAATAGGTAATAAAAAGATCTTTCTGAATATATAGTTATACTTAATTAGTTGAATTCTAAAATGTCGGAGAAATTTACGTCGGAATGTATAATTTTGAAGATTTTTTTACAAAAACATAATATTTATGACATTTTTAAAAACAAATAAAATTTTTACAATCAACCTTATAGATTCACAGGGAATTGTAGGGAATTTATTGTAGTTTCAGAATATGTACTAATATTGTATACAATTTAATTGAAAATCGCCAAAAACAGCTGTTTTTGTAGTCAGGTGACCAAAACTTTCCACCGCTAAAATCTATTTTGAACTCTCTAGTTTTTCAAACTACCGTTTCTCGCTACATAATACTCACTGAATAATGTTTTACTTATGCATGAAAATGAATCCTCAGAATCTCATCTTTCTAATGGTATATAAGATTTATTGCGTTTTAAAACTGTTTTCATATTTTAATAATAGAAAAACCCGACCCATGTCATCTTGGTCTAAAATTGACCAGCGCCACAGAGAACTCACGTTTTAGTAGTCTAAAATCGACCAGCGCCAGATAGAGGGTTAAAGATTCTTAGAAAGTGGCGGTAGGTAAAGCCGAACTGCTCTCAAAACAAGGTCAGTAAACCAAACTTATATTTGACGAGCGAGGGCTGATTCCGTTAATTTGAGGTCGGTTAAGAGGGGTCTAGCCTATACTGTTAAAAGGCTCTGCAGACCTAGGCCGAACTTAATAAATAAATAAGTTAGCACCCGTAAGAGATAAACAGGGTAGGCTTAACTTAAGTTATTCTTATTGTAGTGGTTTGAAGCCAACTTGTCTTGGTCATAGGACTAGCCAATGCTATTAAGTTTAGTTAGGCCTAACTTTAAGTTTTATTATGGTAGGCCTAGGCCTAAACTGGTCCATCAACCTTTTTTCTAATCCAACATTTTAATCCTTTTACAAGATCTGGTTAAGTTAGTATCAATATGGAAACCGTCCTCGTTGTATAAATGTTTTCGATAAGTGACAGGTAAGTTTTTTATCGCTTTGACAACGCCTTTAGACAGCGGGTAGGCTTAGGAGCCTCCATTATTAATGCTGTTATCACCGAAAATGTACTACATCGTTTGCCGGTGTAGTGGAGGTAAAGTTTTAGGTTTAGTGAACTGTTATTGCTTAAAGTTTTATCTTAGATTAATATTGGCCTATTCTAGGCCTACCTCCAATTCCCAAACACGTCAGACCGTAATCCAGCCAGCTCCTTTTTCGTCGGTTGCAAGGTAGTATTGCAGACCAGTCACTCACTATAATTCTCAATTATTTGTGCACTGCAATTCACTTAACACACTAATCACATTTAAATTGATTAATTGAAAGTTCTAGTTTTGGATTCATACAAACACAATTCGCTAGAATGTCTTAAATACTAATATACAATCTAAATTACTATTGACAAGGACCACTATCTGGGCAGGGTGCGGCTTCCCTCTACTAAACTCTGCAAACCCCGTAGCAGGAATGACGTCATTGCTTTCCCGCGCGATTTGAAATCCATAGCAGCATCTATCTATATATTAATAGGCAAGCATGTTTCTTTAAAACCTTTTTTCTCAGCTCGTGTGAATCGTAGGGAAAATCTACGCATACCGTTGGAAAGCTATTTTCCTGTAGGTGTGCAGAATCCCTTTATAAATTTAAATAGGCTCAAAGATAAGCACAAAAATTGAGTTTAAAAATTTGAAAAAATTAACATGGATCTTATGCGTTGCCATGCTGGTGACGAAGTAACAACGAAATATAAACAGAAAATCAAAACAAATGGAAGAAACTCCAATCACATGTTTTATTTACAGTGTGGGGTGAAAATAGAGAAGTGAGTAAGTTTACATTACATATTTTTGGTCGAGTTTCGACCACTGGACGACCACTAGTCTATATATTAATAGGCAAGCATGTTTCTTTAAAACCTTTTTTCTCAGCTCGTGTGCATCGCAGGGAAAATCTACGCATACTGTTGGAAAGATATTTTCCTGTAGATGTGCAGAATGCCTTTAAAAGTTAAAGTAGGCTAACAAATAAGCACAAAAAATTAATTTGAAAACTTCAAAAAATTAACATGGACCATATGGGTTGCCATGATGGTGACGAAATAACAACAAAATGTAAACAGAAAATCAAAACAAATGGAAGAAATTCCAATCACATGTTTTATTTACAGTGTGGGGAGAAAATAGAGAAGTCTGTACATTATATTTTTGGTCGAGTTTCGACCACAGGACGATCACTAGTTTTGATTATTCCTCTCATCCCTCCATGTACTTGTTAAACAAAATTATTTGTCCTAATTTTAGGACGGTTATTTATCCAAAAATTAACCATTTTGAACGTTTAAAGCAGCATATCTTAACCTTATTTGTGAGCTTCAAGACTATGTACTAAGTAGGCAAGATTTGATAGTAGCTATTAAGTTAGTGTAATGCTAACTAGTGCAGGTAAAATGTACTAATGTAGGCTACTGTACTCTATCTTACAAGAAATCTTTGTTAGTAGAGTCAGCCATGTACAAAAATTGGTTTTTATGAATAAAACTATTTAGATATACCTATAGTTTTTTTACCAAAAAACGATACTCTTTATCTGGGTTGAAATTCTGCTCCATTTCCATTATGAATCATTTAAAAATATTGAGGGGTTTCTTTTTTAATGTTCATATAAACAATAAACAAACATACCAATCTTCAAAAAATTGTCTGACAATGTGGATAAAAACATCACCCAGATTTCTTTCTGTTTCTATCCATTCAATACACCGCATGTAAACGATGAAGCTATTTTTTTAATGACTTACTCTAAAGTATAAAATAAGTGCACATTTAAACATACCTCTGAGTATGTAAAGATGTACAAACAAGCATTACATAGTTCATATAGGCTATACAGTTGCCATATAACTACAAGATCCTTTATTCAGCAAGCAAAACTTTTTCATAACCACTAAAACTGGGTGCCAGTTAATATGTTCGGTTAAAAAAGCAAAACAAAATGCCCACTTTTTTCTTAACTATAAGAAATATTGCTAGTCAAAAATAGCAGCAAAAGAATAAAACTGTTTAGTCTTCTGAATATGTTAATAAAAAGAAATGTTGGCGGACAGACTCAATGTGATAATATTTATTTATAAGCGTTGGTAAAAGGGCAGAAAACCCTTTTTACAGACAAGAAAACTATTAAGATTGGACAGAAATCATCAATTAGCAATTAGCTACTGCATTGCCTTGGCAAATAGTTTATAGAATATCAAATTATGTTGAGAACAAAATAAATGCAACAAAGTTGGCACATTTTTAAGATTACGAAAGTACATTTAAGTTTTACTTCCAAACTATAATTTAATAAAATAAAAACCACAGATAAACTACGAAGTTAGCGCTGAATTTCCTAAACCTGTCTTCACCAATGGGTTGCTTTTATAATGCACAGTTGTGCTAAATTATGAAAATCTTTTTAATGATTGATGATTCTATACCAAGTGGGAAATGAAATACCACTGACTGACAGATGATCACTATATCTCACTAGATACGAGTATACGACCTAGAATTATAAAATTTTGTATGGGGTCCCTGTATGATGTAGACGTGCAATAAGACGAGGTTTCACAAAATTCAAGATTCAAGGGGGTATAGGGGAAAACTATTTCCAGTGAAATTTGATGAAAACAATGCTGTAATCTTAAATCTGATGTAAATTGTTTGTGAGGGATTAAATACACTGCTTGTTAAATAGGCCAACACACACCAGGTGATTTTGACACTATGAAATTGTTTAGTGAACGATTCATTGCAGATATCTGTACCCAGATGTACACCATCTTCCATCATTAGCGAGGTAGAGATGTTAAAATGTGACTCCCACCTCAGGCACTCTTGGCTAGATAACCATTTACAATAGATTGTGTCATTATTTTCTACACAGTTAGTGAGAACATCCATGACCGCAGAAGACGTTTTATATTTTACCATGATCGCGGGAGACAATGATGATGTTTCCTTGACCGTGTAGGAGATGTTCAATATTTTTTTATGGTCACTGAAATCGATGATGATTTTTCCGTGACCATGGGGATTAGTCTAGAATTTTTCCACGAAGACGGAAAAAGATTGTAATGTTCCTTTGTTAGTGGGATACATTAAATATTTTGCCACATCGCGGAGGATGAGGATAAATGTTTCCACGCTTGCAGAAAACAATGATTATTTTTCTAAGATCACGGGAGACGGTGATGATCACCACACGATCATGGCAAATAGTCACGATATTACTGCAATAAAATTGTCACTGATAGATGAGGTCAGAGTCAGACTAGCCGTGGTTGGCTTAAAGGGTTCTATTGTATTTTAATTTTAATATAGTGGGGAGAATAATATCAAAATTGTAACAGTACTACTTGGTTTATTTACACTTAAACCTACATAACAAATTGACTAGATTGAAAATGAGAAAACAATGTCAGTTAAGATAAAAATATATTCCAGCTAATCCAGATTAAACCGAAATATGGTTTTGAAAAATGTCAATATTAAATAATTAACAGAGTAGTCTGATCACTAAATCTTTTCATTTTATTATGAAAGCTAGTATCTGAATTCAGTATTTAACATTACTGGGAGCATTTGCAATATTTCTAACATAGATAATAGAATTATTTTTCAATAAATAATGCATTTAATCATAGTGATTCAACTTCTTAAACCGTTTGTAGGAAATAGTTATTTGTGCAACTAGTGAGAAAAGTGAGCAATTGACTCACTCGAGAGAAATCCTTACGGCTCGTGAGGAATGGTTTCTCGAGTGAGGCAATTGTACTTTGAACTCGAGTTGCACATTATACTTTTCCTACAGTTACCATAAAACAAATAAATTGGTGAAGAAACATAACCTATTTTTACACAGAAGTGAACTTTTAATATAACATTTAATGTGAAGTGACAAATACAACAGTACAACAGCTGACCAGCTGATTTACAGCCAGTGCTGCCAACGTGATTCGCGCGCATACGACGTTGCCTGCATGTTACGCGCTCACTATTTCGTGCCTTCACGTTGCAAATCTGGAGTGAGACAAAGTAATTAGAGTGAGACAATGTTAACATTGTCTCACTGATGAGCGAATTGGCCACTTTGCTTTCTCAAATCAGTGAGAGAACATCTACATTGTTAGGTAACTGTAGGAAAAGTATTTTTTTTTAATAATTTTATAAGTCACTGACTATTTACTTCCTCATAAAATTTACACAACAATTTTGTTGTCCAAGATTTAATAAGTAAATTACCCTGATTTAAATCTTTACTTAAAATGCTGTACTATGAGTACTAAACATAAGTGGTTTTCATTCCATTTATCTGGACCAAATTGCTCCTTGACATTCTGTCGAAGAAAAGTAATCCTGAGGCTCGCTCAATGCTTTCTGGGGGTACCTGAAAATGAAAAAAAAAGATGCAGTGATTTTGTTTTACACAAAACGCAAAAAAATATAATTTTCTGTACTATTCTAGCTAGTAGTATTCCTAGCTACAGCCCTGCTTGGAGGCTCAACAGCATGTAGGACGGTTGTCGGTGGACACGGTCTTCCCCATGATGACGGAAAGTGAGGACAATTGGACCTGTGTGTCTCATTACATCCAGGGTATTCTCCGTGCAAAGAAGCTTGACCGTGACCGGGATACAGTCTAGGTCAAAAAGGAATTGAATGCCAGAAACGGCTTGACCCCTGAGGGCCTAGGTCAGACGTTGACCTGACCTGAAGTAATGTGACAAACAATTCCAAGTCTGTGTCCAACAGAGTAGAGGAAGTTTTTATTGTGTAGTCTGATAAGCTCAGGAGTCTCACATCGCAGAGACTACGATACAAGATCTAGAGCATTGGTTTGTTATAAACGGCCTTAATTTAAATATTAGTAAGACGAGTTTAGTTCATTTTAGAAACTTACAGAGTAGGGAAGGAGAGTTGAAGCTAAGAATTAGCAATAATGATGTGAAATGCCAGAGTTCAGTAAAGTTATTAGGTGTTGTATGTGACCAGAACTTAAATTGGCGGGAACATAGGCCTACGACACAGCTATGCAAGAAGTTAAATAGTATATGTCACAACATGAGCTGTCTAACTCATTGCACAAGTATTGGAACTAAAATGACACTCTACTACGGATATTTTTATTCATTAATAAAATATGGTATAGTGTTATGGGGTAATACTGAATTTTCTAAAGAAGTACTAACAGCACAAAAGAAAACCTTGAGAATAATGACTTTAACATGGCCAGGTTCTACATGCAAAAACCTATTTAGAAATTTGAAAATCCTTAAAGTACCAAGTATTTATATTTATGAAACTTTAAACCATGTAAAGGACAACCTAACATGGTACTCAACTGAGAAAACCCAACACCATTACAACACAAGAAATAAAATTTACTGGTTTATCCACACCACTCTACCACTGCTCTAGAAAAAGGTATTTATTACATGGGAAAGAAACTTTTTAACAAATTACCAAACAACATGAAAGAAGCGTCTCAGGAAGATTTTTCAGAGAATGTTAAAAGATTATTGGTCAGAAAGGCCTACTACAAAGTTCAAGATTTTTTTAATGATACTGAAATATAATCTAGTGGTTCTAGTCATTTAGCATGAATTGTATTGTTTTATATTATCTACTTTCATATGTTTATCACATTCAACCACTTTACGGGAATTATTTGTTTGTGTCAAAACACTCGTCTATTGGTCATCTTCACCATAAAACACTCACTTTGATGTGACAGCATCTTACGAAAACATATCTACTGAAATAGGTATAATAAATAATCATTTGTTTTTACAGTTTATATTCAGGCGTATTTGGACTGACAAATGTTTTCCAAACAAAATCTATCCATCACGTCTCATTACGTCCATTACGTCTCATCATCAAGCATTTGGTTGGGATTATGATTGTTTTTTTAATCGCCTGAAACATATAGGTATATAAAAAAATCAGAAACAATATTGATAACAGGTCAATTTAACCAAACTGAGGTGAAATAACTATTAGTTGACTGAGGAATCACCAATTGAGGTAAATATCATTGTTTTACACTATTCTTACCATGAAAACATTCAAGGGAGTGTTGTCAGCTATTTTTTGATTAGGCATAACGTAGGCCTCCATGTGCAATTTTTTGTCATGTAGCTCCATTACAACAATTTTGAAGAAATGGGTAGGAACAGCTACATGAGAAGTGCCTATTACTTGGTATCTGATGTACAGTTTACCATCTGATTCAGTTCTGAAAACATGAGACTAAATAACATAAAAAGACACAAATAAAACTAGATAAACAGTATCAGCAAACTGACATGACTGTAGTTCCATTGGCTTAACATTGAATATCCTAACGCCGGTTACACATTGGGCGGTTTCTGCCGCGGCGGTAATTTCACCGTCGCCGCCGTTCGAGCAGTAGTCTATAGACTTAAATGGAAGCTTACACACTGGGCGGCAGAAACGCCGCGCGGCCATATTGCCGTTAGCGGCAGCTGTGCAGCCGTCCACTGCCACTGCGGCTGGCGGTGTTTTTGCCGCTCTTGTCTACGCAGTGGCGTACGTGACCAAATGGGCGTTTACACATTTGGCGGTTGTCTACCGTCGCCGCTGATCAGTCGTCTTTCCCAGTTGCTCCAAGTCAGAGGTCTTTGAAAATCTGCCTTTTAATTTGTGTCTTGTTGTTATGTTTGTGAGTTGTTTATAACATGTATTTATTGTTTTAAGTGTTTGTGGTTGACGAGTGAGAGAAAATGAGTAAGTTTATAGACAATGAGTTCTTAATATCATTTGTAGAACAGAGGCCAGTTTTGTGGGACAAAACCCTCGACATATTTAAGGATCGAGATGCAACAAGGAATGCGTGGAAGGAAGTGTGTATGGAGATTAGGGGAAATTAGAAAAAATGTGCAAAATACAATTTTCTGAACACTCATGAAACAGAGAAGTCACAACACATTAAGCGATGAAGAACTACAAGAATTGTTTTGGCTACTGATCATATGTGGTGGTAATTTTGCCGCTCGATGTTTGGCGGTATTTTTGCCGCTGAATGTGTAAGCTCGACTTTTTTTCAAGGCGGCGATGTAACCAGCGTAATACTTAATGAAAAAAAAAGAGAAAAAAAAAATTACACTCACCCGGTAACTGGAGGAGTGGCTAAAAATAATAACTAAAAAGAAGTGAGATAAGAAAATAAAATAAAAGGTAAAATAATATTGTTAAATGAATAACTTCATTACCATACTCAATGTTAGTGCTAGAAGATACATAGAATTTTAATGTAGGCTACCGACAGTTTTATAAAATCAGATCACAAGTGTACTTAGAAGCCGTACATTTAAATGAAATTTGTTTGGATTTTTTATGTTGAAAATCACAAAAATTTTACTCTTAATTACTTTTGAATGATAATATTGAAGCGTTGCAGAGTTGTACCAGTTAGTTCAGAATTAAAAGGACTGTACGAAATTTCATTCAAAATTGTCAGAGCCTTTTTTTGTAAAAATCAGATTTTCTGTAATTTTATACAAAAATCATAATTAAAAATCTAAATTTCAAAAAGGTGAAAAAACGCCTGGATATACCATGGACCCACATACAGTACCAAGTTTCATCTATAGGACCACAGGTGTTCTTACTTGATACTTGAATCCTGCATATTTGACAGATCTAGTGTGATAGATTGTGTCATAATTTATAATATAATAAAACTAGGTATATACAATATTTACAAAACCAGTATGTTCTGTGTAGTCTGTAGCTCTTTACACATCCACACCATAACGCTTTGATTAGGTCGAGGACCTCCAAGTGAGTGTCAAGTCAAAGCATTCTTCTTTATTTTCGTTGTTTTGTACATAGTGTTTGTACAATATGTCATTTCTTAAAACTAATCCTTATAGCTACCTAATACAATTTCTGTCAATAAGTAAGCACCATAATTTATGTTGGCAAATGTTTGATTTAAGGCCATTAGTTATTTTAAAACTCATCTAGTGAGTATAGTATAATGCTCTCACAACTAGGTGTTCTTTTAATTTTCTTTAAATTTTGTGTTTAGTGAGTCGGTGGCTCAGTCGGTAGCGTCGCGGACTTCGGGCCCAAGGCAGCGATGTCGTGGGTTCGGATCCTGGTCACTGCCGATAACATTTTATCAGTACAGTTCACCTTTGTACTGTACCGGCTCACTCCTTGCTTTGCTGCAAACGTTCCACGCACGGGCGCTTAGTCTATGTGGACGGGCAAATGCAAGGTTAAAAGAGGCCGCCAACCTCTTGTGTCTATTATGGGAGAAATTTTATTTCAAAATTTAGATCCTATATAATTTGGCTTTTTCTTAAACATTTTTAATCTGCGATTTTGCAAACTTATTTTTTTATTGTTTCTTGTACCTATTATAATGCTGGAACAACTGACCAGTATCGAATTGCTCTTAATTTTGTTTTGAGTAAACAATAGTTTCTTTCTTTAAAATTGTCTTTAACGTGGTCAGTTTGTTCCATATTTAGCATTATTCTGGTTTATTTTTTTCAGTTTTATATCTCATTCTGATTATTCATACCGTAGTGGTTTCTCCATAAAAATGTATATTGTAGACTAAATGAGAATAGGGACCATGAGACCATTTTGAGTGTTGTCAGATCAGATATACCTATTTCTTAATGTCCTAAAGCAGACAGACCTGATTTCATTTTAGCCAGTACTTTTTCCATGTGGGAGTTCCAACTGAGACTGCTGTTATGAGCTCGTAGGCGGCGTAATTTTAAGATAAGGGAATAAAACAAAAAACGTCAACCACTTTGATAATACCTCAGGTTGTGTGTGGCACTTATGTACAACAGTTGTAGCCTACTTTAGTTGCTCTTTGATATGTATATAATTAAAAAAAACAATAACAGATTTTTTATTTTATTCCAAAACGTCCCTTGCTTCCTGAACCGCTCTAGTATATTCTATGACTAGATTGTTCCAAACTATATGTTGCTTACTTTGGTAAGTAGAGTGGTCCAGTGCACACATAAACATTGGGGTATATTCTTGTAAGTCTCCTCACATGCTGTTCCAATTTGTTCCAAGAGTCCCTGTTGAAGCCGACCCCTACCTGAGGAGCCATATTGGACAGTAGGAAGGTCTGTTCCACATGTCTCTGACATACACGGTGATTACCAGCCGCAGCGAGATGGCCTCTGTCAAACCCACTGCCTTTGTAATCTGAGTTCCTCGATCTGAAATGAAATCATCTATTATAGGTACTGTAAAATTCAATGTAGCCTATGTCATTTGTCATCTGTTGTATGTTTGTCCTTTATGCATTACGAAACTGGCCGTCCGATTGTGATGGAACTTTGGGAAGTTGTTCTATACCACAAAGAAGCTTTCTGTCCCATTCCCATTTTAGAACTCCCTCGGAGCTCCGCCTGAATGGCTCTGGAGTACCTCAGGTTTTTACCTTAAAATGGGTATTCGTATTTAATAAGAATCAAAGCATGTTGACAGCTGTTTCAAATACAAGTTGGGTTGTATGATGTTCCAAAGCATTAAGAAATTACAAGGCTTAACATCAGGATAACAACAACAATAATAGGTAGATAACTTACTTTCTCTACATACAGTAGGCCTACTAGATGTGCAGGGGGAGAAAGTTAAAGTCATTTAATAAACGGAAAAGAATAGATGTTCAACAGATTGAAATTATTAGGCCTACCTAGAGTAATAAAAGATTACTAAACTTAAAAGTAAAAGTTACCTTACCTGAAATATTCATGTATTGATTTATCTTCTGTGAACTCACACTTGGAACGATCCACTTGATCATTTTTCTTTACTGATTCAGCTGTTAAATGTTCAAAGACCCATGCAGCAACTCTGTTACGTCTATCATAAGCTAATACATAATCGTCCAAAGAGCGTACATTATCCAAACTGGGAAAACCATACTTCATTATCTGAAAAATAAAGGACATTAAAATTTTCCCAAAATAGAAAAATCCCAGCATGTTTTATTTTAAGAAGCTGATAGATGGTGTGCAATAGAAACTAGCCTACTAACTTACGCCAACATCTGCCATTATTGGATGGTTTTATGTAGATTTTGAGCCAGCTGAAGCCAGGCCAACAAGTAATAACTTACTTCCACCCATGTAGTCTACTAAGGGGTGCAAGGAGTTAGGCAAGTATGTGGTAGCTTAAATTAGTATACCTAGGCCTAAGTTAAGGGGTGTCATATCTTCAATGCTGATTGAGAAAATAAGTCTTCCTGTAGAGTATTTAGATGCAATGACAACTTCCAGCACATAATTTTATCATGGTTTAATAGATTTAAGTAACTAAGTTAAATGTACTTATCGACATTCAGATTTTAGGTGCCAAAATTCATAGGATAAATCGAGAAAAGAGCATTTAACCCAAGTCCCAGTCATGAAGAAAACCCAAGTAAAACCACAAACTGAAATCATTTGACACAACTAAGTTAGGTACCTACCGGTAGGAAAAAAAACAGAAACTGATAAAGATAAAATTAAATTAATAAGCTAGGCTAGGCCTATTTTCAATAATTATTATCAATCAATTATTTATCAATTAACTTAGTTGGGCTAGATCAAATTCAGGCTTAACTTACTTCTCCCACTCTGCTTTTCAAAGATGATGATTTTTCCTCCACAGATACAGGTAAAGATTTGGAATCTGGATTTATAGGAGTGGCCGCAGATACTGATCCATAAAGTGGTAGTCCAGGGTACTTTTTCATGCCATCGTTGGATATTAAACTATTCCTCTCAATGTAGAGTCCTAACAAATATCCCGCACAACCAACGCTTCCATATCGAAGAATTCCTTTCAGGTTCATTATTTAAATTTGTAGATGTTTCAAACACTTGTAATTTTTAAGTTAGGCCTAGGTCTAACTTTTAAGTTAAAGGCCTTGTAATTAATACAAAGTGGTGTTCATAATGATAGCAAAATGTTAGGGCCTATATGTTTAACTAATATAGATATCCTTATATTATTTGACAATTCGATTGCAAATCATACAGACAATGGTTTCTATGGGGGGGACGTACCAGTAAGTTAGGCCTATGTTCTGTGAATTAAAATATATTGCTACTAGACCTAACTTAGGCTAGTATCCAATAGTCAACGCTATTATATAAAAGTACAAAATCAGTTGACCTTAAAATTGATTGACGCCCGGTTAAGAATAATTGTCACTCAATTCCTCAAAGGTGCGTAGAACGGGAAGTAGAAAATTATATAATAGGTAGGCCTACATAAAATAATTTATAACCTTTCCCCTTTACAAAATGTAAATACAAATTTGAGGTTAGGTCTTCGGTCTTGGTCTTCCTCTTCCACTTTCCGTTTGGAAGGTATTGGCAAAACTGGACTGAGTACTGAACTGAACTGACTGAACTGAAACAACTGGAACTGACTACTTAGACTTCTCATCCCATTGTAAATTTTGAAGCACGTTTTTCGTGTCTAGTTCATGTACGTGACACAAAGGCGCTAGTATCGATGAAACTTCGTTTCCATTATTTTAGGGTTAATTTCTTGATTTGTGCTTTACTGTTTGGTTATATAACTAGGGGACAAGTTATTGTTTATGATTATATCGTATTATTTGGTTAAACGAGGTTTTAAATGGCTGTAATAACGGGAAACAAATTGTAAACAAAACACGACCTCTACATAAACCGTACATGAACTAACAATAAAATTGTCTTCAGCTGTTCCATAAGGATGAGAAATCTACTAAGGGAGTATGTTTTATCTATGCTACTGCTGACTGCTGAGACCACTGAGCTTGAGACTGACTGACTGTGACTGTCAGACCATAGATTAAACATACTCCCTAGTATGTTTAATCTATGGTCAGACTGTCACGCTGTCACGTCACGTCACTGTCTCTGTCTCTTTTCCTTTTCCCCATTATTGAGTTTATGAGGGTTTTCTTTATAATAATGCCATGAGACTATAGAGTTCGATCCTACAAGGTTAGGTCTCGCCATTGACTGGCGATTGATTAGAGGCAGTGGAGGCAGAGCAAGTCAGCAATCAGCATCAGCAAGTAAACTTAATACTGTAATACAATAAAATCGGCATAAATTGTGTGTTCAATTGATAGTATCATTTACTAAACATACATTCTTAATTAGTTTTTAGAGAAAACAGTAAGAGTATTAATTTTATATATTAAGTATTCCGAGAGATTTCAGGGCTAATTGTTTATATTGCTCAAAATAATCAATCAAATCAAATAATTTAGGCCTATTATCATGGACATTATGCATTGACATCGTCAGTGGAGCAGAACATAAAGTCAATGTTATTGTCTAACTATTGGGAGTTAACTATTGGCCTCCTATGAGTGAAGAAAGTCTGTTGTACAAATTCCTTTCAAATATAGGGTTAACAATCTCAACTCAATAGACGATAAACAAAGTTAACAAATGAATAATTAACAAAATTGAAGAAAACAAAAATAGGCCTGCTATATACTATATAGAAGTAATTGATAGATTTAGATGTAAAGTTACAGAGTTATCACAGGTTGTTCAAGAAACTCTTTAATACCGTAAAAGGACCTGTAACTACATGACAGTACGTGTATTTTCTCATTTTAATCCACAAATTAAAACCAAAAACCTCGAGTGATAAGTATAAAGTTACCTTTTGTTTTGTAGTTGCCTTTAGTTCTAAAAGGGCAACACCAAAACAAAAGGTAACTTAGTTAAAAGGTTCTTGAAACTGGGTAACGTATTAACATTGAGTGACATTAGAGACTAACTTAACATGTTTAATCCATAGTGTTACGAATGGGAAAAACCACGGCCGCCTTTTAACCCCAGGCCGCGGCCTTCGAAGTGGCAACGTCGCAAAGTAGGGTTGTAACAGCTGTTTTGTTTGGAACCAACTATAGTCCGTCCGTTTGGCTATGATACCCAGTGGATCAGGCAGGAACCTTCTCGGTCGGAACTCAACTCACCCTCTCGACCCGCTCGTCGGGCTAGCCGGAGACAAATTACTCATATCCACTGGCACAGTCCCAAAGATCTGTAACTTTTTTTGTTTAAAGTTAAAATAAATTGTTCTTTATAGCCTAAATTTGAGTTTTACACGAAATTCCAAAAATAATGAGCCCAAACACGATGTGGATTTCTATTATCTAAAATTATTACAATTACTCTGTATCTTTACGAGCTTTGTCAAACTTTCAGATCGTAGGCCTAGATATTAAGTATCCAAATCGTGTTGGACTCATTATTTTGGAATTTAATGTAGAACTCAAAAACGATGTATTTTAACTTACAATAAAAAAGTTACATATCTGTGGGACCGTGACAGTAAATAGTAGGTAAACTGTTTATCGGCGGCCAGCCTGGCGAGCGGGTCTGGAGGGTGAGTCGAGTTCCGAGAAGGTTTCTTTTCCGCTGGGTATCATAGCCAAACGGACGTACTATAAATGAAATTTGTGTATTTACGAAGGCTTAGTTACTGCTGGACTATGGAAATATTGATTCCGCATGAAATGAACAGATATGAATTATCAATTCATATTGTTTTGGTTTTAAAATCTGTATGTTTTATTTTCAATATTTTAATACATTTATATTCTTAAATTTAAATCAATAAAGTGCGAATTAATGAGCTGATGTCACCTGTCTGACATGTTATCTTATGGGACGTCTGACAATAAACAACCCTACATGCCACGTTACCAATTCTACCAGGCCGCAGCCTGGAGTTAAAGGCGGCCGTGGAAAGAGTTATTTTTAACAGAATCAAAAAGACTATATAAAATCAAAGCACATCCAAAACTATGACTCTTCATTATACAGAGATAAAAACATATTGAAAAGTATTCATAATAGTAGCATTGATTATACATCTATCAAGATACGTATATAATAATCAATGCCCGTATCAAAGAACAGTTGCGAGAACAGTGTACAACAAACTATTTATTCTATGCTATAATTATAACTATTACATACAGTTGTCAAGTTGCGTGTACATCCTAAATAGTGTTTGTTCTACCGTTAACCGTTTTATCTAAAAAATGGTTCCACTGAGCCAGAAAAACCGGAGGTAGCAGTGGCGGTTACCTCCCGCTATCTCCGCGTCCCGCCATCTCCGTGTCCCGCCACCTCCGAATTTCAGAGTGACCCCTATAATCCTCGGTTACTCCAGGGGTGTTAAGACTTTCCGTCCTATCCTAACCTAACCAAACTAACCTAACCTAACCTAACTCACGGGTTAAATTTTCATTAATCTTCCATCCACGGGGCTTGCAGCCGTGGATGCAATGACAGCTACCAACGCAGGCGATGACGGGATTATAAGGGTCACTCAAGAATTCGGAGGTGGCGGGACAGATTTGGGTTCGGAGGTAGCGGAACGCGGAGATCTAGGAGGATTAAACATTATGTTTAAACATAATGTTTAATCCTCCTAGGAGATAGCGGGAGCACACGGCAGTGGCAGTGGCACGGCAACGGCAACTCTGCTGTTGATATAAAGCTAAGGAAGTCTGCCCATTAGCTCGTAAGCTTATGTATGTTCAATTTATTGATAAAATATGTGGATTTTTATCCTTGACAAAAAACACCAAAGCGGACAAAATAAACAGTTCTTTGTCTTATCAAAATTCTTAGGGAGCTGAATAGGTTTGTTACTAAATAATTTAGCAACTGTTTGCTAAATGATGCTTTGTTTTTTCTAAGAAGTAGCTCTTAATTTGTTGTCAATTAATCCGCAATCTTTCAGAAAATTAGTCCTCTATACTGTGTGTTTCTATCTTAATGACTCTACTCTACTAATCTAATCCACTAAGGTTAGGCGTAGAAGACCTCTTCCAATGTTAGATATTAACACTCCCATTTTAGTAAGTTGGAGGCTTTACCTTGTTGAAGTCTCAAAATTTAAAAAAAATGTGTCGAAAATTAGAATAATTATTAGTTATTTGAGTAGGCCCTATAAAGTTTACACCAAGAAGAAAGACATAAGAAAATAACCTGTCTCCTATTATCCTAAAACCATTTTATAATGATTCTCCGGTAATTTTTCTGGGTCATGGCATATTTATCAAATTTTAGAATGTCGCCATTGGTGATTAATTTTAACCCAATCATCCAAAAGACAGAAGTCTGAGGCTCCATACTTTTGGCGTCACTCTATAGTATAAGTTTATTTTGTATCTGCATCATCCGCATGTTGTATAAGTGTCACCATGACACCTTTGACAATACAATTATGACTAATTTGAATTTTAAATAAACATCATTTATGTAAAACCGTTCATTTTAATGCTATGCAAATTGTAAATCAATTTGTTTTAGAGGTAGGGTGCTCTCATAACAACCCAATAAATATGTGGGTTACTCAGATTTTCTACAAACAGACGCTCACCTATCATTTTCATCATTTTTACTAAGACTAGCTGTTTCATTAGGCAGGGCCATGTATTTAAAACCCAATGATCGAGAACCGCTGGATACAGTTTCGAACCATAAAAAAACTACTTACTTTTCTCATGATCGAACCGGTGACCTTTTTATTTCTATGTGAGCACTGTAAACACTCAGGCACCTCGTTATCATCTATATCTATATACATATTAATACGCAAACGATTACGACTGGACGGATTTTAACGTTTGATGTGTCAAATGGAAGATTTTCTAAATTTCACAAAAAATAGCCCTTTGGCCTAGAATATGTGATTTTTGGAAGTCTTTATTATTATAGCTACCCTATTGACCTGCCCAATTCCTGCCTCTGGACTACGGACGGAAACTACAAGTATGCAAGTAGAAGTAAAGGTATAATGTCACGTAGATGTGCAAATACGTTGCTAAAGGGCACAACTTAGGTACCGTTAGGGCTATTTTTGGAACGGTGGTGCTATCCGTCGACATTGGATCACAATCAATTGACTTTGTTTACAACTAAACATATGGGCATGGTTTGAAATAGTTCTTCAGGTTAACCACAGACTAAAGAACTAATTACTTTCTGAGCAAAGTTTTATGTTTTATTTTTATTTTAAAACTTATTTACTAAGCCTGCTTCATAAATATATTTTTTACAAGTATTTTATTTAAAACCCACATTCCAACGAGTGCAACATACAAAACAACACATTTATAAAACAATTAAACTAGAAACGATTTGGAAGATCGATTGGATGTATTATTCTGAGCTTATAAGTAGTTTCGAGGAGGTTAACTGCCGGAAAATTCGGATGGTTTTATAATTTTCTTTGGTATTTTTCGCTTCGTTTTTTTTATTTCTTCTCATATGAAAGTTAATTTTGTAGC